CAGTGCTTTCACATCCTCCTGATCAGATGCAAGAATTTTTATTATTATCCCAATTTTTTCTTGGAATTCTTAACAAATCTTGTGGACAATCCTGTCATATCCTACGCAAACCGGAAGTTGCTACTAACACAGTGACATACAGTGTGTGAATACTAAATTTTCCACCGCATTTCCCTCTTTGGTGAAATGCAAGCTGTCAAACATAACTTTCAGCCTATAAATGTATGACACTTTTGCTGTTCTCTGTGCTTCCTCTAATTTTTCTATAATCAGAAAATGCTCAAGAACCTGTCTCCAGCAGCAGACATAATATATCCATTATCTTAGGCACAATCCAGAGGGCAAGGCCTATCAGCATCATAAAGCTAACAGTACAGTTATTGTACAAACTAAGAATGAAATGTCTGTGCATGTATTACATAAATACATGCCTGCATTTGTATAGTTATTGATTTAGTAGTAGCTACCAACCTGCCAGAATTGGCAGAAAATATAATTTAATTATTTCTCGCCACTTACAATAAATAATGATTGGGTTTGTTTTGTAAATTGAAATGTTTTGGTTGAGGTTTTTTTTAGTACATATTCAAATAAAAGAAAACCTCAAAACAAGAACAATTTGATAAGATCTTATCTGCAGCTTTGGGGATTTCCTTTGTGATAAGCAAAAAAAGGAAAACAGGCGCATACAGTGAATGTGGAACAGGTAACATAGACAGGCATACAAAGAAAATCTTTAATCGGAATTGGATGGGAAAACTGTTTACTGTAAGGATTTGCGCTGCCAAAAAAATATTATTGCTATCTTACAGTACTGATGATTGTCTATTATTTCTTGTTCTGAGAAACTTAAGTTGAGAGATCCTTAACATCACAAAATCCGGAAATCCAACCTGTCAGGCGCCAGTTCAGGTTTTATCAAAGTAAGAACAATACAGCTCTGGCAAGTCCCAATGCACAGAAGCATAAAAGAAGCATAGATGAACACTGTTTTGAAACTTTAAAGAAGTTGATCAGCATTGATAACACATAATTTATTTGGGTAGATGAGATCAGCTAACTCTTTGAGCATCAACAAAAGGATTTCCGCACCAACCTATAACAAGACTATTTTCTTTTGACTATCCCGACCAATTAACAGTCTATCGTTCTGTACATTCTTCTGTTTAGCATAAACATATACTAGAAATGTGCTTTGATTCTTTTATGCATCTAATAGAACATATCAAAATACAAAACGTAGGGGGAAAAAAATCAAGGGCAACACACGACTATTGATTCTCAAAAGATTAGTCAGATGCGCAAGACTTCATAAATGCATTTCAAGGTGGTGGAGTACAATTAAAAAAGCTTTAATATGTACTGCAGATGTTGGCAAAGTTCACTGTACCCACAGTCCACAAGAGAAATGGTTGCTGAACTTGTGTTAAACACCATGGACACTTGTAAACCTGTCAAAGACCTGATCATTATCATTAGTTATACCCATGTGCGAGGTGGATTATGGTGTCAATCACCAAGCATCCCCAGTTTTTATCCTCTGATGCTGCAATCGTTACAGTTTCAATGCTTAAAAAAACATGCAATAACCAAAGTCAAATTCAGTTGACGGGCATTAGACCTATGGTACGAATATAAATGTTGCACCAAATATGACACATTTGTTAGAACCACACAAAAAAATAAACTTATTTAACTTTATCACACAGACGTTGAGACTATTGGAGAAGCTTTTGACACCAGATAAGTACTTGTGTTAAACACCATGGACACTTGTAAACCTGTCAGTAAGGCCATCGCCATCATCAGTTTATACCATGGAATTAAATGCCTCAATAGGAACACTGGTAATGTGTGTTGATTTTAAAGTGTTGGCAGTTGCACAACCTTTTGTGATATCACAATGTGAATATTAGCATTCGTAATGTAAATCTCTATTCACTATCTTTTTCATTCATATAAATGATTCCTTTCCATTATTTAGTCTCTAAACTATAGAACCCAGCTGGAGGGTGAATCTGTTCTCCAGGACACTGCTATTGTTGTTTCAAGAGCAGCCACAAAGAAGTGCTCAGAAGAAGCCTAGAGTTTTTGTCTCTGTCAAAAATGCGATTGTAAATACGTTTTCTCTCTCTGTAAGAATCATAGAGCTAACTCTCTTCCTCCTCACACACATTATATATAATAATTTGGTCACTCAACCCACAACTGTTTGTGGGACACTGCTGCGCAATTGGTTGCCGCGTTTCGCCCACAAAACAGTCAATTCACTTTACAGTATATTTTGTAAAGCGCTTTGAGACGTCTCGAAGGTGTGATAAGGCGCTATATCAAATGCAAGGATTATTATATATATGTTTACTTATTTAGAGGGCTCCCTCAATTTCATTCTGGGATACCTGAGGTTATATGGGGTAGTAAGTGAGGAAGTATGCTTCATGTTAAGAAATGGACAGAATTTTTATGAAGGCAAGAGAAGAAACTTAGCCACAGTGGCAGGGGAAGTTGTTCATTAGCATTATTGTAATGGTCATTCCTATCTGAAATGGTCCAGTTAAAGAAGAGAAATGTTAATAATAATCTTTGCATTTGATATAGCATCTTATCATGTCGTTGAGACATCTCAAAGCGTTTTACAGCATTTACTGTGAAGTGGAGTGACTGTGTATTTTGTGGACGACCGTGGCAGCCAGTTTGGGGATTCTTTGGGTTCCTGGCACCTGGTGTTGGTTTCCCTCTTTCCACACAACAAACACCCCAAGTTAACAATTCTACCCTTGCCATTAAAGTTACAGCACTTTGGTGCGCAAAAGGGTAGTTTGGTGATGTGAGTTTAAAATGAAATTTTCAGACTGCCAGGGTGAGTAATTTTATTCCAAATAGAAAATAATACGAGCTCCTCCTCTCGGGCATTCTTTATGGAAGAGATAAAGATTCAGTTAAGAGATAGAAAATACCATTTACTATATACACGACTTCAATCCACGACTGTTTGTGGGACACCACTATGGTAATTGGATGCCGTGTTTCGCCCACAAATATACAGTCAATTCATTTTACAGTATATTCTGTAATCGCTTTGAGACGTTTAGAAGACGCGAAAAGTGCTATATCAAATGCAAGCATTATTATTATTATTATTATTATTATTATTATTATTATTATTATATCTGACCTCTACACGAGATTTCAGTGGGATAGAATTAATGGCATTATCAGCAGGACATACAATACCAATTTCTAAAATGCAAATAAATTAATAACAAAATTTGAAACAAAATAAGTTTGCCTGCAAAAAATACAGTCATTACACTTTACCAGTGAATCACATGAAGCGCTTTGAGATATTTCACATCCTCACATTCTCCTGATGTGAAAGTGCTATATCAATTGCAAGGTTTATTATTATAATATCATACAAAATAAAGAGTGAAGTTCTTTATTATGTCATTTGCTCTGTAACCAACATTGCTGCAGATAGGTTCAATGCCCTCATTTTCTATTTAAACGGCACTTTATAAAGAAAATATATGAATCACAAAGAAAACCCTACCACTGGCTTGAATTACTTTAAACTGTGTTAAATGAAATGCAAGGATTATTATTAATTTGAACTTCCTGTAAAAAGTATATTCTTAGAAAAAGAAACACACACAATTCTGGAGCCTGGAAACAATCCTCTTGCATGTGAGAAAAACTGCTTACAATTCTTCCCCGTAACACTTAAAGGAACGTTTATATTGAGTTGACACGCAAACTACCCATAGCACTAAACCATAATATAAATCTTATGCGCCCTGTAATACAGGCAATACTAGTTAATATTACTCAAATCATTCACATCTGAGGCCAGTGGGTCTGTCTGGTTAGTTGAGCCCGATGCTTCTTGGGAGTCAGTCTCTAGTGACATCTGGTTTAGCTTTAGACTTTCACTGATATTTTGCCAGCAGCCACAACCCTTTAATGGCCACAATAAATTAAAATGACTGTAAAGTGTGGAAATCATACACTAAACTAAACTTAAATCTGGGTCCAATTTCAGATTATTTACACAATATGTGAATACAAATAGGTTCAATTTTGCTAATTAAAACTTTTGTAGGTTTCATTCAATTTTTCTAGAATTATTTTTCTTATTTTTTTAAAAAAATGATGCTGCATTCGTAATTACCGTGGCTAATTCAAAACAAAAGTTTAAAACACATTTAGCTACAAGCCAAAGCGTTTTGTCAATTAAGGCCTATAGTCTTCTTTTTCATTTATAATTTATTATGGAAGGTGCATACATGTAGGTCGAAATGACACAGTAGCTGGACTCTATGTTGGAAACCTGCTGACAAGGGAGAGGAGATCAAACACAGATCATGTTTCTGCACAAACTAGCAGTAGAGAGGGCAGACCAAGGGTTCTGTAGGAGCTAAGGGATGCGAAAAGAAGAGTACTCCTGTGTCCCCGGGTTGAATAAATAACAACTGATACTTTCCAACCACTGTTGTCCTTCAGGATTTGATAGAATCTTCTTCTTTAAAACTGCTGTTTCACTTTTATTGAGCACAACAATGACAACTTGCATTTGCAGAGCGCTCTTCATACAAGGTAGTGTCTTGGAGCACATAAAAATGTACTCTGTCATAAATGACTTGCACTACTAAAAGCATTTAGCAAATCTCTGCTAGGAAGTGCTTACTTTGCTGAAATATATGTTTGTTTTTAAGTGGACATCGAATGTAAACATTTTCGTCTTAAAGCTGCATGTTTTTAATTTGAAATCGCAGTGATAAACAGTTTAGATATACTACCTTATTTCTAGCCCTTTTATTATAATTATGACATAGCATGAACATTACTCAGCCAAAATACATATGCATTAAGTGGGCTTTAATGGGTAGAATTTTTTTGTTTTATCCTTAGGGGGACATCTTGTTCAATCTCCTTCATATACTCATTACAACATGTAACTATGTTTTGTATTATATGTTTTAAAAAGGTTCGACACATACCTTCAAGGTCTCTTTTCAACCTTCTAAGTTCCTTCGTGAGATCTTCAAACTTAACTTGGGAAGCCAGGAGGAAGGTCTGCGGCTCTATCAAAGGATACACACTCTTGTCTGTTCCTGCGTCCTGCTATAGGTTAACAAAGAAACTCTCACTGTTCAGCTCTGACAACGGAAGAAGTCAGGACACACCATTTGTTCTAAAAGCAGAATGCTTCAAACTATTGCCCAAACTGATGCCCATCAAAAAAAAGGAAAACTGAAATCTGCTTTAATTTACTTTAGAGCTAATTTCTTGTATTATTCATGAGGTTATCTTCCTCGGGACCTTTTAGCACCAGGATCCTTTTCAATTTTTCGAGGATGAAAATAAAATGACAAAGCAACGGTTGGACATATTAGGAAAGGAAACCCCGTTTGAAAACTGTTCATTTAAAACAAGAGGAACTTTAGGCGGTCACAGATCGCTTTAAAATAACTCAGCTGAAGATCCATTAATTACCTTGTCAAAGTTGTGCAAATAATAGGATACAACGTAATCCACGAGACTAATCTGATTGTCCTAAAAGAGTAAAATAAAGGATTAGAATTCAGAATACCAGGGATACGATGAAAGCATTATACTTTCCAGCAATGTTTATTCACCATTGGATGACTAGCACAGAAGTAGCCCAATCAAACAGGAAACAGCTCTGTTTTCTCTGAACACAGAACACCAGCATCAACATTTCCTCCCTTTTCTTTCAGTGCTACTTTACTTTCCTATTCCTTCCAGGAGGTGTTTCACGCACAATTTGCACTCCCATCCTGCCCTTATTTAGCATTTTTAAAACATAAAACACAGAACTAAATTTAAAATTTAGGAGTAAATGGCAATTCAACATAACCACCTTCCCTTTTAACATAGTAACAGTTTCAGACAAGGGAAGACCATTGAGTTTGACAGTTCAATTTCTCATGGATTTCTTTGGTGCGATTTTCTCTAGATTTAATACCCTTGGTTATCTGGTTCCTGTTTAAACTCCAAAATTATTCATTTGAAAAAACGCCATAACGCAAGATATGAAGACAAAGCAAAACCTTCAGCCCAAAGAAATGCAGACAATGCAAACGAGAATTAATTAGTAAAGCTGTACTCTCCTGCAGTTTACAGTCTTGTATCAAAGCTGCTGTGTTTCATTTACCAAGGAGACAAACAGTGGAATAAATATTACGAAACAGGAAATTCATGTGAAGCAAAAATTATGACGTCTGCATATTGGCTTATTTCTGCAATGTATTTACCAGGCAATTTCTTATGTTGAGCATGCTACAAGTAGGAATTGGATTCAAAGTAATTTCTGCCCCCATTATAATCTGTTCAACGGTTCCACATTTGCCTTATTTGCAGTTGGGTGACATATTTGGATAGTTGAGAAAGGTACGATGCAGACAAGGTCTCTTAAACATACATGCAGCAGTTTAAAATTCCCAAATGTGCACAATGGAGCAGTGATGAAGAAATCAGATTAACATTTCAGATTCAGAGATTCCAAAACAAATTGCAACACCACCAAATGCTCTCGATAATCATAACAACTGCAGCATTCAAACAAAATAAATAGCTTCAGCTACACTCTCACAGTTTTTGACCTTTTGCTAATCCCTGATTGTAAAACTACACAAGTCACAAGGAACACTTGTGATGTTTTCACTGAAATTAGGAAAATACAGCTGTTTTCTATTCCACTCACATATTACTGCACAAAAACACTGACATGTATTATTTCAAGAAAAGTTAGTTAAATCATGATCTAAATATTGAACTGTGCCAGTCTATTTTGTGCAACAAATATAAGCATTTACCATATATTAGTGCAACCCCAGTACAACAAAAGAATCACAAGAAAACAATATGATATCTACCCGTACTTTGGGATTCTCACTTTCCGAATTGAGGTGTTACATAGAACAACTAATTCCTAAATGTCAACTATGAGATATTGTATATTGTTCGCAGTCAGAAAATTAAGAGAGATGTAACATACTCTGCTTTTGACATCCTTTAACTTTGGAAGAATTTCCAGACCAAATCCATCTGCCTGGCCACGGGTCCTGTTCCCACCATTCATGTAATTTCCAAAGGCCAGGATCAGTCCAAGCACAATCTTTATACTTTCTTGCTTCATCAAACTCTGCAGATATAAAGCTCCAGTTATTATTCACCCAGTAGAAAGGCAATGACTTACCAAGAATGCAAATTCTTCATTTATTTCAGTGCATCTCTGCTAGGCACACGTCAGGCCAATTACTGCAACTGGCAGTGCCCCCAGGAGTTGTCAAAGTAGTTCTGATATTTTAGAACATGGTTATTCTGAATCAGTTAAACGTACATTCACTTTCAGCATGAAAGCAAACATTTGGGCTGTAATTTGAATGTTACTTAGCAGGATTGTTCAATCCAGTTAGTATTCTTGTCAGCCTGGGGGAACTTTACACCCAAAGAACATTGTATCAGATCTGACTTCCCATTGGTTAGTGTGAAGCTTGGTTTGCACGATTCAGATACCTTATGAGAGAACCCCATTAATAAATATCACTAAATTGCCCTTCAATATCTCCTATTTATTTATGTGGAATACAGTTTTCTTACTTATTCTTTAATCGTATTGTTTTAACCCTGCAAATGTTGCTTTTCCATCTAATTTGGTTAGTTTATCAGCTCTTGGTTTGATATCAATAACATACATTGAGGAAGTTCCATCTAAGTTATGGAAATTGTAGAACACAATTTAATCAAATAAGTTTATGTGTTTGCCTACAACGAACTCCACATCTGATTGGGAAAATATATTCCGCTGAGCTACTCCATTATTCCTGAGGATTACAGAGTTACAAATAGAATGGCAGGCTCGAGGAGCTGAATTGCCTACTCCTATTGCTATGTTCCTATGATTATAAATGGATCAGTTGGAGTCTCTTAGTCAGCTCTTATGACTGAGCTTTATGTTTTAGAACTGAAGCGAATCCAAAGAGGAGCCAGCACTGATAGCTCAGGAATTTCCTCCTGGCTTTTCAAAAAAATTCGACAAAATGTCTACTATACCCTCTCGGGTACACACAAAGAAGATTATCATGAAGAGTGGTACAATCTAAATGTATTTGAATATGTACTTTCATTTAGCTTTCAAATGTCATGCTACATTATTAAAAAAAAAAGCATCCCACTACTAGATATGTGCTCAGTATCAACTTTACAAAGCTATGAATGAGCAGTATTGTGCTTATCCCACATCAACAAATTTGCTATATTCCTACACCTCCCTCAACCCCAATGCGTCTCTTTCTTGTGCTTCAATGTTGAGGTTTAGGAATTTGTCTTTCTAGCAAACTAACTAGCACAGTGCACACCTTATCAATGAGGAATTACATCTAAGATGCTATCTTTACTCATTGCAAAGACCAAAACTTTCTTTACTTTCTGTTGCTTATGTAAAGGACAATAATCTGAGAATGATTACTGCAATTTTTCTCCACAATAAGACTGACTACTGTTATTTCAAGTACAGTACACACTGACAAGTAATGTGACGTCTATTTACCTTGCTCTTACAATGTTTAATAATACCCTAAAACAAATAACCCAGAATATCTTGTGATATGGATTATTATTGGTTGTGTACTGCAGTGAGAAAGCCTGAACTTAGTCGGGTTGTGATTTTTACCAGCTGTCAATAAGAAGATATATTTTTTTGGGGGGTATGGGGCGAGACAAATATTGTCCAGTGCTAAATATTGAAACTAGCGTCCAGCTTAGTCTATCCTATTTGCAAAATTCATCACAAAAAAGTGTATAAATAGAGCATGAGCAACAAGGTCGGCAAGTGATTTACACTGGAGCCCAGCAACTGGGGCTAGTTGATAGGTTGATTTCAGTAGGACATAAATTTGCACCAGTGTAGTATATATGCAGGGGTGCAAATTGATTTGTCCCACTCTCCAAAATGTTCCGAATTCAACCTCCATTGGAGCTCCCAAGAATCCCTAAGTGACCCTGTTTCAATGTCTTTGAAATAAAGAAAAGTATCACAACTATATACATGTGCAGAGCATTCAATGGCTCCCATACTAGGATTGGGAAAGGGGAGTAAATCCTGATGACCGCTCAGAATAATCTCCAGTGTTGGATGCAATGTTGATTCAGCGTTATAACTGAAATACGCTAAATTGAATTTCAGCAAGTTACCAAGGCTGTTAATGCTTCCAAACAATCTTGGATTTATTCTTAAGTACATTATATAACTAATCATACCTTGCTCACATGCTCTACGATGTCTACTTTGCGGTGTAGTGAGGAGATGCTTTCCAGAAAAATGGACTGGAATATGATACAGTGGCTACGTTCAGCAAAATTAGAAATCTGCGATAATTCATACAAGAACCTGTGGAAAAGTGATAATTGATTGGTATCAGGCATAAACTTTGTTTTGCAATCAACAGAAATCATAGCAATGGCTACAATAATGTACTCGAATTTTTAATGTATCCTCCCGTGTGAACTCCTGCGGGCGCTGCTGCTGTCCCATTAGCTATGGTGAATGATCCAGCTCTAGAGTAGAGAAGATGAAAATGGTGAGTACAGGAACTTGTCCACCCAACATCTGGGACTTTGAGCTGCAGGATTACCAGATCTACCTCCTCAGAGTCACCTAAGCAATTTCAACCAGGTCCCATGTTAAATTGCCACTTTGTGCTGTTTCAGGCTTTGCCCCAGAGATCCTGCTTACTTCTCCTCAAGAGGATATTTCAGGCCAACTTTTCAACAATGAAGGACCCAAGTCTTGTGTTCAAGTGAAAGCGATGCCATTAAAGTATAAGGTAACAGTGCAACCCTTTAATTAATTCAAGCTTCTCTTAAGAGTAGAAATGTCAATATGACTGTGAGTAATAACTAGTCAAATTTCTTACTTATCAGCAATTTTATACCTCTATTTCTTGTTGTGATTTGTTAACAGCTGCATCATAAATGACAACCTTAAGAATGCCAAAAACATGCAAGCGAGTTACTAGTTCTGGTGCAATGAATAAGTCTGTGTGCTTTTTAAAAGGACACTTGGGATGTCCCTTTCAGATTTTTATGTTACACAGTTCTTTTTTAAGACTTAAGATTTGAGAGAAAAGAGGTTAATATTACATGTAAAAATTCCCCGTGGTATGTCATCAAAATAAAAGAACACTGTTTTCACCTCTCAGTATGAGAGGCAATTTGGAACGTAAATCTATGAAATCATATCGACTCCTCTGGCTCTATTTTTCAGTTGATGGTGTGTGAATTGTTGACATATCACAGAAGCACATAAACTTGCATAGAATGAAATGGCAAAGAATTAGGTCATTCGGCTTCAAAACACCTTGTGAGTTCATTTTCCCATGGGCCCCCACTCTTTGTGTTCCCTTCACCTATACCCCTCTATTCCCTTCTTCCTCATGTAAGCATCAAGTTTCCTGATAAATAAATTTATTTTTTTTTGCTTCGACCACATACTCACCACCCTATGCTTGAAGAAGTTCCTCCCAAACTCCCCACCAGAGCAACTAGCTATCAAAACTTTTGGAATGGAAATAAGGTTTCTTTCAATTGAAACTTTTTTTTAACTTGATAATATTTTTGTTTTCCTTTAATTAGACACAGAAGCTGTGGAGATGCTGTATTTATCGTACCTCATACTAAGCTCCTATTTCAAATCGTCTCTCTGCGCAAGTAGTTCAACACTTTCCTAAGCTTAGTGAAAAAACTGGTCAATCCATTCCTGTAACATTGGTTTCCCTGGCTGGCCTGTTGCGGTAGTTGTGCCAGTGTATGAAGCAGATCCTCATTCACACCCATGGCATTCCTCTATCAATTATAAGATCCATTATGGCTATTTGTAGAACTATTATTATTAAAATTTACTGCTGCCTTTGCCTACAAAAATTCAGTCACTACACTTCATAGTATACCCCATGAAACGTTTTGAGAGATCTTCCTGATGTGAAAGGCAATGTATCAAATGTAAGGATTATTATTATCATCATCATTGCGTTTCGTTCTGTACAGAACATATTTGGGTTGAAGGAAACGTGTGCCCGCCTGCGCGCCATTCAATACAAATTATAAATTTACATTTATACAGTTCCTTTCACATCAGGAGGACATCCCGAGGCCATGAATTCACACAAAGAATTTATGCTCTGTTTCTTTGCTGAGTATCTTGAGGTCACAAGGACTCAGTCAAACAAAGAAATTGCTCAAGACAATACGATAGTAACAAGCACTTCATCAATTCTACTTTGGGTTTATTTTTCCCAGTTCATTCTCATATTTCTCTGCTCTTTAGATTTCTCGAGTCCTGTTAAAAATCTTGTGTAGCACGTATAACTGGATAAAAATCACCCACCCGGATGGCCTCCCCTGCCCTGCATTTACATTGGAACAAAGTATTTGTTATATCGGGCAGAACGTTCAAAGGTAGAAGAACCACCACATGCTAGAACTTGTAATTTTATAAACAAAATAGTTTTGAGTTAATATAGATAGCTAAGCTTTCTGGAATACAGAGTTTAAAGTCAGTATAGGAGAGAAAAATCTCTCAGTACAGATGCTCCCTCAGCAGAAAAGAATACCTCAGCCAGCACTGTGTGACCTCCCTTTCTCATGCCCTATGTATATCGCCCCCAAATGGACATTTTAAATCAATTTCTACCTCAAGACACAAGTGGAAATGTTAATATTCCAAAAGGAAAGTACATTTCTCTACTTTTCCAAAAAATATATAGAATTAGAAATATTCAATTAGCTAACCTTAAACTTAAAATTAACAGTAATAATTAATAATAATAGTAGAAGATGCTTTGCACATGGAAGTATGGAGGGGACTTATATTCCATTTAAGATCATTTTATAGAGCAGTCCATGTTGATCAGACAAACCCACTGCCATGCAATAAAATGTAGAGAATAACCAATTAGGAAACTTTGCTTCTGGCATTAAATACTGAACCATTGGGAAACAAAACTAGTGGCAGTTTGACAACAGCCCTCTCCTATTTGATTGCTCCCCTCATGTATACACTTCAAGAATGTTTCAGAAAGTAATTGGTATCCAACAAATCTATCATTTCTGTAATGATGTATACATTGTGTTTTGCATTAATTAATCAATCAATTTGCTGGCTTTGCAGCTCTAAGGATGGGATTGTTCTGCATTATTACCGGTGGTCACGGGTACGCTTAATTTGTACAATAAGGTTCTTACTGTTCTGGCTTATCCAGGATCTTCTTATTGTCCTCTTTAGAGGTGTCAAAATATTTTCTTATCTTTTCCAGTTCGTCACTTTGTCCTCTCTGGAATGCAAATAAATTATAAAAATACATATCGCAGCAATGGCATAACATAAGAAGGACTGGCACAACACAAAAAGATCATCATAATATATCCAAAGTTTGAATCCAGTTGCTGAAGTATAAGCGACCTTTCACTGTAGAAAGTATCATTGGTAAATGCAATTATAATGTTACTATAACATTTGACGTTGCCTACCTCTGTACTGAGAATGTCTTAGCTATTTCCACCCATTGACCAGAACTGCAATGGTATCAGTTGAACAGTTTAGGCACAAATTATGAATATAAGAGAAGTCAATCTCAATAGTAAAGATTAGCATCTCCAAGGAATGTTACGATTCTCATTGCATTAAAATAAATTCAACTATAATTAAGATAATGTTTCTCACAATTTCATCTGAGAAACCACATTCTGTTCTAATACTCAAGAGATTGACATGATTTGTGTTCCAGTGATCACTGATGATCATGATTTACTTTGTTATTCAGAGTCCTTTATTACCATTGAATCCTCTTTTACAGCTGACTCCCATCTCATCAGTCAGATCTTTTGCAAGCAATGAATCAAGCGGACCAGACTCTTTAACACAATTCAGCTTTGACCAATCTGTACTATTCCTGTAGCAATGATTTGGGCTGCTTTATTTTCAGCAGCTGAGTAACAACTACAACATCTAATGATAAGAGATCAGTTTAATGAGGTTAAAGCATTTTTTTAATATATACTGTATTTCATGATTTAATGACAAGCAGGTGTGAGTTTGGGAAAGCAGCCACATAGAACTGCTTATGAATAATCACTGACAGAAAGTTGCTACAAGAACAAAAGCTCTCTGATTGAGAATTACATGTTCCAGGCAGTTTTCTACTGGTTCACGGTGCTTTTTACGGTTAGCATTATTGCGTTTGATCACTCCAGAGCGCTGCCATTAATTATTAAACTGCAAGTGCCATATTAGATTATTATATCATACAATTTGTTTGTAGGCAATGGAAAACGGACCTATTAACAACAACAAATTAAAATTAAATTCAAAGAATTTACTAATTTTATGGTGAAAATAACCATTTAGGAATGTGATGCAAAAATGTTGAATAGTGCATATTACAACACCTCATATTGATATAGTATTCTTCTCATAGGATAAGGTTTTAGAGAACTTCACAGTGATGGGATTGGGGACTGAGCAGGGGAAGAGGGAGGAGGTGATCGTAGGCATGGTGGAAGAAGTAGGTTTTAAGGCAAGGCTTCAAGACACATAGAAAGGGGAAGAGATTGATGGGTATAGGGAGGGAGTTTGAGAGGTTAGAGGTGTAGAATATGGATAGGGTGGGTGATGTGCAGCAAGTCTGAGTTAGCTGAATAGAGGAGTGGGGTAGGAGGAGATCAGCAAGATAGGGAAGTGCTAGTGCATGAAGGTGTTTCTATGTAAGGGTGAGAGGGTTGAAACTGATCCTCTGGGAGATAGGGAGACAATGGAGCCTGGCGAGGACAGGGGTGATAGGCATGCGGGTGAGGAAATAATATAAGCTGTTAAAGCAATTTTTAAAAAACAAGCATTTAAACCTATTCAGCACATTGATAATTACATGTAGGGAGGAATGACTCTGAAAATAACGTGGTTTTGGATTTCTTTGCATTTTCCAAAGCCCGAGCTATAATGGGTTTATTTCTTGCCAAAATGGCAGTACAATAATGGAATTCCTGCAATCCTGTCTTAGTTGTATCTAAGTTTAATTTATCACAGCTGACTGTTCAAGTATTTTCCATTCTCTTACATTTGAATTTGTCACACCCTTTGCCAAGGAGTTGATTTGCAGTTGTAACATTGACCAGTTACAGCACAAAGCTGCCTTTACCATCACATTTGCTCAAAGTTACTTTGTATCACGAGATATTAATTTGAGTTCAAACAGTGAAGGGATTGATCTCAATCTAAAATAGATGTTACTCCCTAGAAAGTGTTAGGAATCCAGATGTTAACCCTTGCAATTTGAACTAGATCTCTGCTCTGTCAGTCAATTAGATATATTTGTTTTTTGGTCAATTACTTAATTGTCTGGCAAGGAATTTTACTGCTGTATTTCAGAATGATGAAGGCAAAAGAAAAGTTACGAAAATTCGGCTCCATTTTGATTCAGTTCAGATCAAGGTATATTTGAAAGTGATCTGGGGGCACTTTACCCTCAAAAGGACGTGGACATAATGGAAAAGGTTCAAAGAACTTGGAATTCAAAATTGTTAAACAACAAGGATAGGTTCGTAGAGCTAAACTTGCTCTCGTTACAGAAAAATAAGATAACAGTGACACGATCATTGTTTTTAAAACAGGAAAGAGGCTGAAATAACATAATAATATAATAATTCTTCCATTTGATATAGCACCTTATCACATCTTCTAGACTTCTCAAAGCGCTTCACAGAATATATTGTAAAGTGAATTGACTGTATGTTTTGTACGCGAAATGCAACAGCCGATTGTGCACAGCAATGTCCCACAAACAATCGTGGATTGAGTGACCAAATTAGTATTATTATTACATAATTGGGGAGAAATATTAAAGAATTTGCCAAATTCTGGATGCTCTAATATGCTGTAGAAGAAATTCAGGTGGAATTTTTTACCCTGATATTTTTGAATTTCAAATGTGCTTATAGATGATGTAAGTGGAAAAATAGTCTTAAAAAAAGCATTTTTTTTCACAAAGGCTCATCAAAAGTAATTAATTCTGCATTGATTAGCTCATTTGGGTAGAAACTATAGTGGAAAAGATGAATATTAATATAGGTGTTAATCGAGATACTGACTATTAAAACCATAGCTCCATGCCTGTTAGGACCACAATTATATTATCCCTAGAGCTCATGTGGTCAAGGTTCAATAAGATGTAAAGTGGACATCATTTTTAGATTGGTGTGGAAATTGTGATATATATAACAAAGAACAGAAAGGAAATCCACTTCAAATAGATCCAAGTTAAAACAAAAAACTTGGATCAATCCAAATTAATCTGAATAATTTAAATTTGTAAAGAACCCTACATTGATTTCACCTCTTATTGTCAGGTTGTGTTGTGATGGTTGATGCTGTATAAAAGTAAACAAAATATGGAGAATATATAAAATATAAAAATATGGAGAGCACGGGTAGACTGATTGCACTTTCATTGCCGATATTGCATTGTCCCATTTTTCCAAAATAGATTCAGCAGCAAATATTCTATTGAAATGTTTGGCACCATTCGACATGCACAAGGAAGTAAGGAAGATTAGCTGATCTTCTCCTTTGTCTATAATGTTTACAATACTTTTTTTTAGTTCTTAATTGAACAATGTAGTGCAGTATTCCAAAACATTGCTTGCAACTACAACTCTTGGAAATTGCTGGCAATGCTTATCTTTTTGTCAAATCACAGAATACATCAGAAAATATGATGGTCTAGTCCAACTAACTTCAGTTGTTTGCTCTTAGGAGGAACAAAGATTTTCTTCTTTCGGTAACCATAACAGCATTAAAAACATGACGATGAACATTATCACTGGCATCAAAACAGATCAAAACAACTGTCAGAAAGTGCCACACACAAGCTCCAGCTTATGATACTTTAACGAAAAGTTTAAATCTATTTTTACAGGCTAACCTTACACTCATCTGGGTTATGTAGGAAACAATAGATCCCCGGAAAACCAATCACCATACTTAAGAGTATCCTAAACTACTGAGAGTCCCACATATTTCTGGAATGGAGTGTGCACTCTCTCTACAGGGACACACCTGACAAACCTAAGAGCAGACTGAGGTAACTCTTTCCTCCTAACAGAAAGTGTCTGACTTCTGTTCAGAATTTCCACACAATTACAAAGCTGACTTTGGTAATTCAGGATATGGAAGATAACACGTGTGAACCAATGTCCTATAGATTATGGAACAATATATCTCTCAGGGAAGGGTAATGTGGGGAAGTGCCACATTGATGCAGTAAGGGTGTTCTTCTATAAGAATATAATTGGGTAGTGTAAGTGGGAACTTTGCTCTGCACCTAATGAAATGCAGGCGCGGGTATGTTTGATGCTTACTCTGGGTGCAAAGAGTGGAAACATATTCTGTTGCCTTTCAATGATGCCCCCCACCTTGATATTCACATCAAACACAGCCCAAAGTAAATGTATTCATACTTGAAATAACAATTAACAGTAGCTGGATCAACAAAAGTTATGTTCTTTCTTTTTGGGCATTGCCAAGTAGTTTTAGAAGGTATAAATTATTCAGATTTATTGCACATTTTGTATGAGAGCAGAATAGTCAAGGTTTTGGAAAACGTATTGTATAACGTAACCTGTGTGTTAATCAGACCACTAGATCTGACATATAATCTGCATTTATTTGGCTATCAGTACCAATGTGGTGTGATTAGTTTGAATGGACAGAGTCAACCTGACATTTCATTTGAAAATAACAACTTTTAATACTTTTTTCCATTCATATGAACCATAGTTTGTATTTGTTCACTGATCAGAAGATCCCATACATTATAAGTAAATCAAAGGATGGTTTTCTCTTAAATAAGTTACTATCTTTGGTTACAAAATGTGCTTATCAGATGCTTGTACTCTCTCAGATGCAGTTTATGAACCACTCTCAAGAGTTTTAGAAATCATCTGAATCCTTCAATTATGCAATTGTCACTCCAAACAATCTGCTCTTGAGTGAGAAGGACAGCATCAAGAGACTAAACGCTGAGATCTTATTGCTTGTATTTTTTTCTTATTCAAATGGGTGACGTTATAATTATGCTTCTTTAATAGTGATTTGGCTTTAAATACCCATAACTGGCAGCACCGTTAATTCACAAACAATTGATTATCTGGCAATGGGAGTAAACATAACACTCTTGATCCTGTTAGAAACGTCCAACAAGACAGTACAACATATATGTAACAAATATGCAACTTTTATCTCAAAGAGAAGATATCAATGGAAATAGTTTGTCATTTATGTTTTACAGCTTTGCAGTAGTACTGACGAGTTCAGTGAGTAAACACGCATTTGTTAAACAAAGTGGAATACATTGTCATTGCCTTGTGACAGAGTTGACATCACAAAATGACGCTACAGCCCATCTGGATTACTAATTTAATATTTTATAAAATGCCTCAATAAATAAAGTATGTACAGTAATATGCTAACTTTATTTATTCTTACTGTAGGTTTTCAAAGTACTTCACTGTGTCCCTTTTCACAGTTATACTTTACAGTACTTAGTGTGGTTTCAGTACTTACATTCTCATACAAAGCTTGAAGAGTCTCCAAATCCACCACCGAGTTATCCAGATTTAAAATAGCTGAAATTGCACATTACACAACATGTTAACTTACTTTTATTCGTAGTGGTCAGTGTTCTGTTGAACTACATTAGTATAAAGTGCCAATTGCACTGTTTTGCAAAGTTCAAATAACCAATCAAATATACTTAACAGTTTCTGAACCAGTTCACACATTTTACAGAAAAAAAACATCATGATGGAGACTTTCAATATAAACAAAATGAGCTACTCTTAATACTGGTAGTAAAACACATTCAGTATGTCTTACAATACAAAAGAGATACAAACTAACTTCATTCCACCACTGAACATTGGTATACATAAAAGATTTGCAACATACAGACTACTAACAAGTTATACCCACAGTGTTGTTCAATTGCATTATCAGGCTGTCAAGCCTTCTAAAGGGTTACAAATCCTTATTAGCCATCCAAACATATATATTGTCAGCTCAAATTTTCCACTTTATTGAAACTTTGAGATAAACAGAAAGGAAGCAGACACATGCTGTGAAAAGCTGGTAATTTTATTGGATTCTTGTAACTAGAAAAAACTGTTGCTCAGCCAAGTCTGGCTTTTGAAATCTATTCTGAGGTAAATTAAGGCAAACATTTTCCTGTGGCACTATGGTGTCTGCTCACAAAAACAAGAATTTATATACAGAAAGATCATTAGTGTAGCATTGCACCCATTAGGTTATAATAACCGTCACTGACGACAAAAAACAGATCAGCATTGTGCACTTAACAAACTAGCAGGCACACACATTAAAACACTTTCTAACTAAATTCATGTACTGTGACACATAAAACGAATGGTGTATTTGGAATCCACATGTTCTTGGTTTGGTTGTATTAATTTACCGATTGTGTGAACTTATGCTATCCTGAGCCTGAAGACAAACCTAATTATTTTGGAAAGACATTTAGCCTAGCACATCTATAAAAGCTCATATGTCATTCTGCTGTATCCAAAGAACAAGCAATTTTAACTGTTTTGCATTTTCCAGAAGTAGCCACAGCAAAACAGCCATTCTTTTGTTACTCCTATTTTTTGCAGTTCAGTCAGGGGAATCTTATTTTGATTTTGCCAAATCTTTCTATATTGACGGAGAGGCTTACCTCTCAAAACCTATTTTGTAGCATAAAAAGTGGCTAGTCTCAGATTTTCGGGGACCATTCAAACTTTCAAGCCAAAAGTCTTGTTAAAGGGAATGTACTTCATGTGGAAATGGAGAAGAGGAAAAAAATGCATTCTAATTTGAAAAGTTCAGAAGAGATTGTCACCAAGGCAGCAGCCAACCAAAGGAACACGAGCACAGTGACAAAATCCCTCTTTGTGTAACCATTTGACCTATCTGCTGTGTGAGTCTTTAAGAGACTTATTGCCCAGCCACTGAACACTCTCTGGCGGGAAACCCCTGGCTGGTCAGATCTACTTTCATACCACAATAACTGTGTGATTTAGGATGAGGAGATCTGTGATGGCTTGACATATGGTTGAGAAACTAGCAGAACCGTCATGTGCATCAAGTCATGAGGAACACAATTCTGGCACTGCTTGTGGCTTAGGTTGATCAGCATAAAATCTTTGAACTTCAAGGCAGATCAAAAAAAACACATGTTGTAAGTTATTCAGAACAAAGAAAATATTTAGTAAAACTCTGGATTTGCATCAGCTCTGGGTCAGCAAAACTTGTCCAACAGGGTGGTTCCTTGCTTGCAATCATAGCTAATGCAGAGCAGGTTTTAACTGTACTCAGTTATCCCGACTGTACACAAGTCATAATCACTGAGCATCGTGTAAACACAATGTCCTGGGTACAAATCTGCTATCTCTCCCCTCCACTCTTACTTTCGTAGCTGCCACCCTAATAATAATGTATAATATATACTGTATATAGCTGCAGTATGGGGAAACGAAATGTTACTGGACTGAATGAATCATCATTCAAAGATCCAGCATAGACCCAATGAGCCTAATAATATTTGCATTTGATACAACGCCTTATCACATCTTCGAGATGTTTCAAAGCGCTTCACAAAATATACTGTAATGTGTAGTGACTGCATGTTTTGTGGGTGAATCCCGGCAGCCAAATGTACAACAGTACATTCCGATGATGGTTTTATATAAACACAACAGCCCTGCTGGGATCAGCATAGGTACAAATACAAAATTACATTTGCCTTTCACATCGGGAGGACATCCCAAGGTGCTGGACAGTCAGGAATTTGGACCTGAGCTGGGGGTCGGGATTGGAGTAGGGTAGAGGGCAGGGAGGGTAGGAGAGTGGCCGAAGGCGCTGTCGAAGAGGAGGTAGAACACAGAAAGCTGGTATAGGAGAAAATAAGTGTTCTAAGCACTATAAAACAATTACGGGAGACTCCTATCAACCTAGGGATAGGAACCCAAGTGTTGATTTTTTAATGTGTATTTGTTTTGCTCCTTGCCATTGTCTAACGGTAACTATTGCTTGATATGAATACAGCTTCCTTTTTGAGAATCCTTCAGTTTTGTTAAAAGGTGGGCATTCTCCTTCCATCTCCCAACCTGATCTCAGCCTGCACAGGAGCAAACTCCCAGACCAAAATGTACCAAGTGGTAAATTTCACTTTTTTCGCTTTTGATTTTCTATTCAAATCTTGTATCGTGGCAAGACAGGAAAGAATATTATTAGAAATAATTTCCATTTTGTTGAAGTAGAAGAAATATTTCAGAGAGCTACTAAGAAACTAATAATGATCTGTATCATTGGAGTCCATGTGTATAAATAATCTGGTCCAGAAAGGTAAGTTCCAAAAACATAAGTTATACCTTTGAAACCTGAAGTAGACAGAGCATCTGCTCCTCATTATAAACCAGGTGAAATGCGTATTGAAGTGTAAATAAGGCATATTTTTAAAAAAATTGAAATACAGGATCTGAAGATCACAAGATTGGTTAGGATGAAAAAAAGCCAATTGATCTCTCAGAATACCCTCCCATCCCCTCACCCCTCAGAATACCCTCCCATCACAGCCACAAACTGCTTTTTAAATGTATTCAGTATCCAGGCCTCAACCACCTGTTCCAGTCATTAATTAACCCTTTTACTAGAAAGTGCTGAACATTACACTCCTGAATTCAAGAATGGTCAATGGCTTGTGCAGTAGGAACATAGAATGAAAAAGCAGGAATGAGCATTCAGAATTTGGACTTTGGAGTCTCCTTTAATCCAGATGACTAATAAATATTTGTTCTAGTGTGCAACCAGGGACATCATCCATTAAACGCCAGAGAAACTAGATGCTGAAATCACTGCAAAGGTTGGAAAGTGGATTCATAGGTCCATTAACCCCCTTAGAAAATAAATGTTCCTAGTCAGCAGGGAATATTTACTCCATAAACAGATAACCCCTTGAACCTTAAAGGATATTAAATGCCACAAACAGAGAACATCAATAGAACATTAGAAAATTGCACTGGAGTATACTGCCTGGATATATGCATACATCAGACATTTAATTATCAAAATCAAGAGAAAAAATCATAGATATTGTGAAATAACCTGTTTAAATTACCAAAGGCATACACATTATAATACCCTCGAAATAGAATGAATGGAAAAAAAACTTGAAACAATTTTAAAGCACCTATCCATCATTCACCAGTTTGTGGAACATCTTGTACCCCTCCTACTTGGGTTCCCAATCAGAGGCTGTGAAGTCTTTCGAGATGTGCTCCTCACGTGAAGGTGCTATATTAATGTAAATTGTTGTTGTTGCTGGAAACATACAAATTACTGATGGGACTCTTACATAATGGTATCTTAACATGAGCAAACTGAAAAAAACTAAAAGCAAATTTGCACGTGGCGCAGGTTTTTTGTTTTATAAACCACATATGTTCCATCTTTAGCCTCAACTAGTTCTTTAATAATATTAACAAAAACAGATACAAACTCAAAGTGGCCAGTGCATTGTCAGGTTTCGAACAAAATCAGTTGGATTTTTTTCTGATCTGATGCAGAGTGGCCACTATAAAATCCAATGTCTTGCTTCCACATCGCTACACTGCTACTGCTCCACACAATACAAACATAGCATTAATAAATCTGAATCCTGTATACTTAAATTCACAAGTTCATCCCAAGTAACAAGCAGTCACAGAATTTGAGGCCAGAGATCAAAGCTTGCAAACTCATCAGAACCCGGGTTCTGAATTGAATGAACTGACGGTTTGAAGAATAGTGTGATGCACAAATTCTGCAATGGAATCAGGAAACTGATTTATGTTTGACTTTGACTCACAATTAAAAAGAAGCTCAGAGAATACCTTTCCTATTAAAACCAGAAGGCACTCTTTCAGGAATAATAGTGTTGCAAACAGTAGTGCTTGCGCAAGTTTTAATCAGAAAGGTGATATTTGAAGAAAAGTTTAACCTGATTTTTCAGTAAAGATTCTCAATGCACCTAGAAAATCCATACAAAAATCCTCTTGCAGGGAAAGGAAGCAATTTGTAGTATGTTGAATATTATTTGCTCAATCATTCAAAGAGTTAATCAAGACGAGTACCTTGCTGGATATCTTTCATTTCCAAATGCAGACTTGATATAAGAATTCCTACATTTTGGGAGCGTTTCCCATCCAGTAACTTTACAATCTGTAATTGAAATAAAACAGAAAGAAAATGATTACAAAATTCAACGAAAGGAAACTGAAAACTGTTGAAGCATATTTTAGTAGATCAAGCAAGTATACGTAGATTAAAAAAGACAAGGAACTTTTTTTGGTGCGTTGAAATAGCATACTTAAATTGCCGTACTCGTCTCTCAACATTCTATGAATAATAAGTAATCAGTTGTGAGGTATTGTAAAATGGGAAGTGAATGTGAACTATTAAAATGTGAACAGTCATAAAGTGAATTACTAATTTTATTTGGAGAATTTGTTGGCCAGGGCATTGGGAGAAACCCCCTTCACTTTTCGAATAGTGCTATGAGATCTTTTAGTACATCTGAACAGGCAGAAGTGTCCTCGGTTTTATATCTAATCCAAAAGATAGCACTTCCAACTATGCAACAACCCCCACCACCAGCACTGGATCCAGAGTGCCATCTTAGACTATATGATTCGAAATCCCAACATGGCTTGAACCCACATCCTTCTGACTCAGAAGCAAGAGTTCTACCACTGCGCCAGGCTGACACAATTAATTAATTTGACCACTTTGCAAATGAGATCTTATCCACTGCAGATGACAACCGAATGCTTTGAAATCACAAAAGAAAATCTAAAATGAATCCAGATTCAGAATGCAACTAGAGTACATGACATGAACCATCCAATTATATTGCAATAAGATTTCATTTGAAAGTGTGTTTAGAATGAACTCTATTAGGGAAATAACTCACGATATCCCTGAATTAATGTAAAGTTTACTGAAATCATAGCAATATTTCCAAACTATATGGAAAATGTGCTGGATATGAGTTATGAAACCATAAGTTCAAAATTAAGAGGAATTCTGTCCAAATGAATTTAGCACTAGCTTTAATCCAGATTTAATGATACCTTCACTAATAACGTTAATTTTGCCTGAACAGTAATGATAAATTCAGTAATCTCTGAAAGTGACACACATCCCCATTGAACTTCCAGACTTGGTAGGAGAGTAAGTTCTAACAGGGATAATTGCAGTCTTTGACTATATTTAATTTGTACAGCTTTAAATGACCTTCCAATTGACCTCATTCTAGGGCAACCGAATAAAATGCCATAATCTCTATTAGGCATGCTTGTTTGAGGCCAAGCTTTTACACACGGCATGTTTAAAATGCGTGCATTCATATAACAAATTCGATATTTTGTTTTTTGCATAAGTGTCAATAATTACAGTACAATGTGAATTGATCTTCTATTATCTCTAGGCGTTTAATAGATGTGATAGTGTGTTAGGAAATTGATAAAGAAACTTAAAATACATGTTAAAATAATAATTGGTAAATGGAGGCATTTTAAATGTTCCAACAAACATTGTAAACATTACTTTCATTCATTCCTAACTCAGCATTATTTTCACCAGTGCAGATTATGAGTGAAACATAAACAATTGTTAGCATGTTCATGTTGATATCTTTGTCCTCTGTGACTATTGTTAGATGTAATATGTAACTTTACATGTCTAATTACAAGAGTAAATGTTAAGATGAGTGACAAACAATTCAATTCAGACACTGTTTTAGGTGTGCTGCTTTATATAATTCTTCTCCAGATATATAATGTATATATTTATTTTCTTTCATTGGAGACTAATAAATCAAATGTTTTTATTCTCATGGGCTTTCCTTTCTACCTAACTTCCGTACTGACAAAGAGCCTGTGAAAAACATTACATCTCTGTTCATTCACAGTATTTCCTGTAAGTAAGCATTTTAAGTGTAAGGTCTCATCCTGTGATTCAAAGGGAAAATGCAGTGACATGTATATCCTCTCTATTTTACATTACTAATCTAACCTTTAAAAATTACCTCTCAAAAGAGCACCATTTACATTAGACCTTAAGCAAGAACATCTGCTAATAATTACTTTAAGCTGTTTCAAAGGAAAAAAAAGACAACAGATAAGTTATTAACTTGAATGTCACCTCATGTCTTTGATATGATAATTATTTCACCAAAGGACATGTAGATTGACTGATAGACTTTAATATCGTTGCCTGATTTAACAAATTGCTTGGCCATCCCCATTTTCATAAGTATTTAAATAAATGAAGAAGTTACATATTTTTCCAATTCGCTTCTGAGCTTGGTTTTAGGTTTACACGTACTAGAACCAGACAGCAAAATAATTTCCATAACCTAGCGATTCCCATAGGGTTGCAAAACAATTTAGCTAAATACTGCTAGCTGCTTTAAAATCAATGTGTATATACTTTTACCACATGCTGTTAAAAATGTCTCCATTATATACCCTAACTCTTTTGATCCTTTCCTTAGTCACGTTTTTGTGACTTAAGATTTATGTGATTAGATTTTTGTGGCCATATTACACCTAGTTAAATGTTAGTACTGTAGTATGCAATAAGAAAAGGAAAATACACACTGACTAATTTCCTTTTATGTTAAATGACAATAAACAATATTTTCGTAGGGCAGCTGTTACTCTACTCAAATTCTACATTACATTCTACGTACATAAGACAAGCTGTCCTCCTCTCCGTTAGTTAACAGAAAAACAAAGCCACAGGAACAGGCATTCACAATGTGCTATTTAATACAATTTATCCTTACTTCTAACCATACATGTTCAGACCTCTGGATACATTTCAAGAAACTCGTCACTATTATTTTTTTGTGTTGTGTAGATGAGTGATTCTTGACAGTTTTTAAACTAACAACAGCAGGCTGCCACAGTGGGCCAGTTATTCACACAAGTACATTGTCATTTTACTTTCTCATCTCTCACTGAATACTTCCCTGTGCAATAAAACTAGACTTCTGTTCCATGGATGATTGAATTTGTTCTCTAAACGTGCAAGGGCACAATGGGCATTATTTTATTTATTTTTGAGATCATGTTTAAAACAGTAAAACAAATAATGATTTTAAATCAAGCTTTATAAAAGATTTCCGAGGTTTTGTCTGATCCATCACCATGCTTAAGAGTAACCTGACCTGAAAAAGTTGCACATATGTATGGAGGTGCAACTCTGTTGGATATTTCTCTTGACTGGAATGGAGTGCACACTGTCTCCCCTGGAGAGGGACATGGAGAAATATGCATAACTCTTACCTAATTCTAGAGGATAGTAAACACAGGCTGGCAAGAGCCAAGGCTTGATGAGTAGATAATGACCAGTAACTATTGAGGTTACTGGTACATATGGTACAAAGTTTTGCACCTCGAATGCTTTACTGAAAAAACTTAATTCCAGAAACTTTAACTATGCTTTATGTCATGATTATAGTGTTGTACAAGCTACAGTTCAATCTTACGAACAAAACCTAAATAATTTTCTTTCCAAAAAGGGATTGAATCCAGGTGGTTGAATACTTTCTCTTCTCGTTTTTTTTCCACTATATATTTAGGGAGGATGGAAATAGTTTTTGGCCCTGGATCCTGCCTTATCAGCTTTTCTTTACTTTCTTTAGGATTGACAGAATTCAGAATTTCAACACAGAAGAATTTCATCCAGGAGTTGTAGAAGCCAAACATTCAGAAATGGCATAGCAAAGAAAATACAAAACTATGTATATATTGTACGTGATATATGAATTTGTATGGCAAGCATAAAATACAGCATTGATTTGTGATATTGAGCAATTGTGATCCATATACAGAGTGGTGTTTTGACTTCTACTGCTAGACTTGGGTTGACACAGTGCTACTCCACTGCCAGGGCTCCCATCTCCACAGAAATTCCTGTGCAGAATGGCATTTACAATTTGTGGTGCACAACCTCAGCTTCACTTCCACCCCCACCCCATACCATCACCACTACCAGTCTGGGTCAGTCCTTTTTGTCAGACGCAAACACTCCAACATGTGGGCAATGATCCAGAAAGGCGTTTATTTTTCAGCATAAATTTACTGTGCAGGATAACCAGCTAAAAACACAGATGTTAGTTATTATTTTACAATACCCTGCCACAATTCAAATGTTTCTGTACTTTTGTTTTGGTTTACGTTGAGCATTTACCTTTGCATAGAAACTTACACGGGAAGATATCATTTATATCCTGTGAAGCACTTTGAGATATTTCAATGACGTGATAAGGTGCTATATCAAATGCAAGGATTATTAAAATATTTAACGCCACTCAGAAATATTTTGGCAAAGAATGTTCAGGAGTTGTAGTGAGTTTCCATGAGTGTTGGTGGAAGCACTGCAGCTATACCAGAATGCAAAACAGCTTTCTATAAAACTTCTGAGTCAGGACTTGGAACTAATATAGTCTAAGGCGACACTCCAATGTAAAGCTGGGGGTGTGGTGCATTGCTGTTGGTGCCGTGTTTCAGATGAGACGTTAAACTAAGGTGTGTGCTGTTCAGATGGATGTTAAAGGTTCCCATGGCACAATTCGAAAAGAAAAATTAGTTTCTCCCAGTGTCCTGGCCAACAATCCCTCAGATAAAATTGGTCATTTAATCCAAGGTTGTTTGTGGGACATTCCTGTGTGCAAAATTGGCTGCTGGATTCATCTACAAATACACAGTCACCCCACTTAACAGCATATCCTGTGAAGCGTTTTGGGACATCCTCCCAAAGTGAAATGTGCTATACCAAATACAAGGGTTATTAGTAGGATTATAATGCTTAATCTTTTGGAATGTTTGCATTGGTATCAGTGGAATCGCTCAGATGGTGGAGTGCTTGGCTCACAGCCAAAATTCTGGGTTTGAATCTATTAATACCCAATCTGCCTCCTATCCTTTCAAGGCTGTCAAAATAGGTCCTCCTAATGTGGGAGAATAGCACAAATCCATGGATAAGATCGGCAGTGCTGCCAAAGAAATTGTCATATGACACTTCTGGTTCAAAACTGCTATAGAAATAGCGATGAGCACTGTCCTCAAAAGGATCAGCCTTCATTGAATCCATTTCCATTACAGTGCCTTTTTCTCTTGAATCGTACACCAATTATTTCTCAAGAGTAAAACCAAATAAAATAAACGGTTGTGAAGGTTTTGTTTTAAATACAGCCTGTTGCTTTGCAGACTTTCTTCAATCTCCGCATAAGAATACTGAAGATATATTACCCAAGTAATTGCTTATCATCTTATAGAGCTTTGTGATACCATGGGGTTTCTCAGCTTCATTGTTTTATGGTTTGGTGTGAAAAGTCAAGTCTTGAACAGATCCCAAATAGACAGCCTATGACAGTGAACTTCTTCAAATATTGCTAGGAGCTAAGAATTTGGAAACATGAATTAATTGGGCAATGAATAAGGATATTTTGCAATGAGCAGTATAATAACCAACATTTTTTACAGTGAGGAAATAACATTTCTTCCAATTGATGTAGACCACCAGATTTGTAAAAGGTGCTAGAATTTAATTGGTGTTCACTCCATGACATCCTCCATTGGATTCAACTTTTCCTGCTTGGTGACCTGCTTCTGTTGATCTTCCTTTCAAAAATGAGTGAAACATAAAGAAGACATCATAAAAGCTTCAATCATCTTTTCTATAGACTGTGGTGTTATGCTCTTTGGAAAGTACCCTGTGGTGGAAAAATTCAAGGCAGCTGTAAACTCCACTGCTACAGATAGAGATGAGGGTACAATAAAAGCAGTGTCCAGATCTGCAGGAAGCAAATCACCGACCTCACCTATTGCATCCACCACCTTCACCCACCCACCCCACCAAAGCTTAATTCAACTTTCTCACACTCATCTTCAGATAGATCAAGAAAATAATTAATTTGAGGTTTATATATCAACCCATCTAGAAGGTTGGCTCTTCAAACTCTTTCAAGCAAAAGTATATTTCATAGGAGCAAGAACTCTATGGAGTTTTTGTGCATTCTGAAGCCTGGTTCATCGAGTCTGAACTCTACAGCTTTGGAAAGCTGTATTGAGTCTAAAGTAAACAGATTTCCCCTCCACCTTAATTGTAGATTATTGTGTGGAAAACTTTTGCAGCCCAAAGAAACCTAAAGTGGATGATTTAAATTGGCAGAAATTCAGTCCCAAACAATAATTTAACCCAAACTCCAAAGTTCCACATATTAGAAAAAACAAGGAGAGAATTTACTGACATTTGGACAGTTTTGACCTTTCTGCTTTCCCCAGGGGTTGGAAGGAATCCAACGTAGATCGACCATTCCTCTTACCTCAACAATCAAAAATAGTTCTGTCTGACATTTTGAATTTTTAACAACAATTATATTTTGAAACCGGAATGCCAGATAGAAATACCCATGAAGTCTGCCTGTTTCCTCTAACAGTTCTCTTGGCAGCGATTTGAAGTGTAACCATTTCTGAATTGAGTCAAATCATCATAAAGAGTATTGTTTCCTTATTGGATTTAGTTCTTTTCTAAATATATGAAAGGTTAAAAGTAGTCCCGAGTCACTAGATTTATCCATAATGTCCTATTGTTGAATAGCTGGTCTATAATAATGTTTTTTTAAAAATGAGTTTAGATATTTACTGAACTAACAAATAATAATAATAATATGGTCACTCAGTCCACAACTGTTTGTGGGGCACTGATGTGTGCAATTGGCTGCCATGTTTCCCCCACAAAATATTACAGTCAATTCACTTTATAGTATATTCTGTGAAGCGCTTTGAGATGTCTTGAAGATGTAATAAGGCATTATATCATGGATTATTATTATTACTTGAAAACATAGGTCCCATTGTGCATGTTTGGCACAAAATTGCCATCTAGCTCAGAAAACCTGTGAAAGAGATGGAGTTTTTTTCTCTGTATCAAATTCATTACATTCCATCCCAAGAATGTTTGATTCATGCAATAAGCATCTGAAGTCTTTGTGTTTCATTCCCCAACACAGATATCTCCATTGGTATAACATTTCATCCAAAAATAAATGTTTAAATAAAAAATTCTTAACCTGCTAAACCTAGTAGTGAATTGGATGATAGCATTTAGAATGGGACTTTTCCATTATAAGCACATATTGTCAAAGTCACTGCAATAGGAACATCATTTTTTTAGGCATTGCAAACATTTCCCAAATCTAACCTTTCTAGTTTTGGTTGTCTTTTGGTAAGTGTCTGACAAGGGTTTTTTCTTCTCTTTCATGGTCGCCTTAGAGAAGAGTTCCTCAAATTCTCCAGGATCCTGGATACGAGGTTCTTCCAGGGTTTCCCAAACAGTTGTTTTTTTAGGATCCCTAGAATAGAGCAAAATGAGTGATCATCAAATTCCAGGTATGAGAAAAGCAACTGGCTTGAAGGGTACTCTTATGGATTTTACATTACGATTTTGTAAACAAAGTCACTTATAATATAGTAGGAAAAATTATGACTGGTATTGCAAACCGTTTTAACAAAATTTTGTTTTGAAACAAAACATCTTATATATTTACTAAAGAACCTCTGTGACTTATCTTATTAAATGATACACACCTTAACCTAAAGGTTGGACCGCACTGGACGAGACTATTGAGCTTCAAATTCAGTGTAAAATGTTGTGTTAGTTGCAGAAGGAGAGGGTAACTCAGGATAATGTGGCTGCTTTAGGAATAGTTCTGACTCATTAGACTTTAATGCATTGAGTTTTCTAGGCCCTTTGGGAGAGACTAATCTCCAGTTATTTCTTTATTTAAGAAGTTTTACACATTGCCATTAAGTGGTATGAAGACAACTGAGGCCTAATGTGTTGGCTGCTAATACAGCAATGCAATAAATCTTATATCAGTGCCAAAGAATCTGAAGTTAAACGCCAGGTAACCATTGTTGTTCCCAAGTCCTTGTTCTAAGCACCACTGAAACCATGGGAGCAGCAGATAGAAATAATGTACGTCAGCATGCACTGACAAAATTACTTTAAATATTTTTTTGAAAAGAGGTCATTCATAAGATAAGACTTATAATTTACAAACTGGCAGGCAGAAGACCAATTTGATGTAAAGGGCCAGAGAATAATAAAAGGCAATGGGTTAAATGCAGAAAATAAACAGGACTTTGGAGGTGAGAAACTGAGAAGAGCAAGAGACGGGCTGGAGTTATTATGGTTCCAGTTTCAAAATACCATTGTCATCCATTACACAAAGGAAAATGTGATTACTTCCAGAAGGCTTAAGTGGTAGCCAGGGAAGTGGCACCCAAGCTACTTCCAAGATTCCTTCGCATTTACAGGTTGGTTAAAATGCTATAAAACATTGCTTACATTACTATAATATTTTAAATTTGCAGACGACAACTAACAGTGCACAATTATTTGTGTTCTGCTAAATGCTATGAAAGCGAAGCTTTTCCAGGTCTTTTTGGCACAATCATTCAAACATTTAATGATAGTTGATAGCTTGGGCATTTAGAGATAGCCTGGATTTAATAAAATTAACACTGTTTTGACAAGAAGTAAACTTTTACTGTACAACAAAAAAGGACTAATGTAAAAGCAGAACAAATGAGACCCACTTAACCAATGCTGTTTGATTTATTGCCACTATATAGTTAGTCGGAAAAAAAAGGGAAAAAAAGCTATAACAATTCCATCCACAGTGAAACTGATTATCCCTCATAAATGGAAGGGACCCCCACGGAGGATATTTGATGCTGCTTTTATACTGCAGTAGAATGATTTGGAGTGGGAAGCCCAATTTATACTGCCCACTCCTCATCAGAGCCTTTAAACAGAAACTAACATTGAATTTTGAAGTTCAGATCTAAGCTTTTTAAAGTGATTAAAGAGTTAGCTGGGAGACTGAGAACCATCAGAGGACCATCGGGTAGCAGAGCTCACTTTCATTCACATTCTCTGTGCTTGGGTCAATTGAACTGCTCCGAAAATTCCCTTTCTCCAATTGGACTCAGGAGCAGAAATAAGGGTGATTCACATTAGTTCTAGCTTCACCCAGCTCTAATTTATACTAATGCTATCTGTCAACCTGGCTGAGTGAGAAGGTTGTGAGTTCAAAACCACCCCCTGTTGAGAGTTTGTAGGTTGATATTCCAATGCAGTCCTGGGGAGTTCTGCATTGTTAGAGATGCTGTCCTTTGGATAACGCATTAAACCAAGGTCCTGTGTGCCTGTTTAGGTAGCTGTTAAAAGATCCCATGGCACTAATTGAAAAGAGAAGTGAGATTCTCCTAGGATTCTGACCAAGAATCCCCTCCCCCCAAAATTGGTCATTGACTTCATGGCTGTTTGTGGGACATTGCTGTGCTTAACAGAATGAGAGACATACTGTGCTGTAAACAATCTGTAAGCAGTATAATATGAAAGGAAGATGATTAGAGTATCCCATTGTACTAGACGTGTTTAAGTAAGCTTAGCTTTTCAGTTCAGTACCTGACATTGTTGATCTGAATTCTTGACCAGTACAAAGGTTTCATAGGGCAATTTGGTTCTATTGGTGCCTTCCGTGGTGCTGTGGCCAAACTGTGGCTGGAGAGAGCTGAGAAATTGCCCAAGGGTGGTGGAGGAGGGGGAGGTCCAGAGCCTGGAATGGGTGGGGGAGGGGGAGGTCCAGAGCCTGGAAGGGGTGGGGGAGGGGGAGGTCCACAGCCGGGTAGGGGTGGGGGAGGGGGTGGGGGAGGGGGTGGGGGAGGTCCACAGCCTGGAAGGGGTGGAGGAGGGGGAGGGGGTGGAGGAGGGGGTGGGGGAGGTCCACAGCCTGGAAGGGGTGGGGCAGGGGGAGGTCCACAGCCTGGAAGGGGTGGGGCAGGGGGTGGTGGAGGGGGAGGTGGAGGCGGTACAGATGCTGATCCTTGTGGAGATTGATCTGACTGACTGGTGAAGCTTAAGGATTCAAGGTTCAGCTTTCCTGGCACAGACTGATTGTTTCGGGAAACACCATCCTCTTGGTTTGATTGTATGAAGTTTTCCCGATCAGTCTGTGCACAGACATTACGAAATGATTTTGGTGCATATTCATCTTGTGTGGAAATTCCAACATCTCTCCTTTCAGTCCTCCCATCTTTATTCTTCTGTTCAACATTTTGTTCAAGCTTAGCTATCACTTCAGCATGCTCCCCACGCACATTGAAAAGTTTCAACTCAAACTCTTTCTGTTGGGGAACAGGATATAAATTAATATCATTAACTTAACATGTTGACATATACTTCACATTCTATATCGCTTTGAATCAGTCAATTCAAACTCAGAGTAAAACTTCTCACGCTCTATTTTCTGGATTTAAAATATTTTATTGGTGCGAAGATTAATTTGAAATAAGAAAACAGAAATCTTCATGGTGAATAATTTTTTCATTGTGAGCAACCAATAATTTAAGTTTTGGTCATGTAGCAGAAGACAAGTCTATTGTTTTAGCACAGTGGTGAATTAACACACTGTGCCATTGTATAGTAGGATGCAGGTTTGCAGTCATGTTTCTTCTCACACGTTTCCAACTTAAAACAGCATAGGGAATAGAGGGGTGCAGGAGAGTGGATTAGGAAGGATGGAGGCTCATGTGGAATATAAACAATACCATGGACTAGTTGGGCCGAATGGCCTGTTTCTGTGGTTTAATGTTCCATGTAATTCTATGTGTAGCAATCCAAGCTTGCACATTGACCCCAGAGATAGGGACATTAATCTAGTCATCTGGGGGCACTCTTCCCCCACCATCTGATGTCTGAGCACAGAACTGAATTGGCAGAGGTAAGGAGACGGTGGCCAGTTTATTTGTTTGACCCCAAGTAAATGGACATGTCCTGAAATAACCAAAACAGGAGTGGAAATAAAAACAAGCTAAACAGGGGTCAGAACTTTTTTCTGTTTGTGCAATACCTCAAATGCTTAATTTAAATTAAATTTAATTAAATTAAATTACCTCAAATTTACATCACACAAATTGAAAACGTAGAAAATATTATTCTGCAGTTTTAAAGCATTACACTTACAGCTTTTTTTTGTAGTTACAATTATAGTTGAAGTTTTCATTCATAAATGTACTATTGTGGGAGAGAAGGAAAACTAAGCAAGGGTCTGCTTGGGCCTGAGACGGCTTCAAGATAGTATGTTTGGCAATTGAATGTTGAAATCAAGTTGACTCTCTGTGGGGATCTCTGTAGACTGGTTCTTGGAGCCAGGTGGGTCCACAGTATTCCCAGGACATTGCTGATGATAGACAAGCCAGCCTGGCTCATCGGAGCGATTTGCAGGGCAGACTGATCATTGGTGCAGGGACTTTTCCAACTCGGCTCCTGTTAACTTTGCAGTCCCAAGCCTTAGTCCTAGTTGGACAAGCAGTGGCAAGCTTCCCAGATGGTAAGCAATGCGTTTTTAACTGATTAAACTCTTAACAGTTACCCAATGCACACTATGGGGATCCCAAATTTTGGCTCTCATGAATCTGTGTCTAATACACTCCAGATTTATTTAGGCAGGGTGGGGAGTGGGGAGAGAGTGCACAATCCACTTCAAACAAAGAAACATTTCTATGCATATGCAGCATAAATATGTAGAACTTGCATAACATTTTCCCCAAACTAATGGCCAAAATTAGCACTCGGAATGTACCAGCTCTGTTGGACAAATCTGTGGGGAAGGAGGAAGGTGGGGAGGGAGGGTGGTTATGGTTGTGTCATATTAAAAGATAAACTGCACAGAATTCAAGGCCATATAATAATATCAGGCAACCGTTTTCCTCCTTAAATTATCGGAATAGCATGAGGTGCCCAGGGATCCATGCATCAACTAGCCTGATTGAGGCAGTAACTTTTAAACATGACCTTCATAATTAAATCCTTTGAATCAGTTCCCCTTAGATGATCTGCACTTTCATTCTCGTTTGTGGAAAAATTCATTTTAGAAGCTGTTCAACAAGAAGGGAACCATAATTTCTAAAGATGAAATCTACATGACTTGCAGTAGAAGAAGTCAATGATAACTTGTTGTTAGATAATGCAGCAAATGATTTTCCCCATTAGTCCAATTCAGATCAGACAAGTCGAATTTGCATTGATGCAGGTAAAAGGAAATTAACTGGATGGATTTTGCACAATAAGGATATTAGGCCAGCAAAAACAAAACAGGAGTTCTTCAGATTTCTGAGGTAATTAAATAATGCGTAAAATCTGCCCCTTGCTGAGATACATCAAATAAAACTGATTTTATTTGGGATGAAAAAATAAAGGTTGCATGTCTTCCTCTGTTTGATATAACTGAAAAGAGAATTATAACATTCAAAAATAAGATTCTCTGTGTCAAACATGTTTAAGTAATTTCTTCCCAATCAAACGATATTAACTTTAATTAAGAGAAACATTCATACTCACTAGAATGGAGATTTTCATTTGTTAAATGGCATGGTTTATTACGAATGGCATCTGTGCAATATCAAGCAGAGATGCTGTTTAATGATATTGTGCTGGCATTAGAAGAAACAGTTTACATCTGGACACCATTAGCTCCCAAAGTATCTATTTTACTTCAATAAGAAAAAAGTTCTACCTTTTGACAACAATTTGAATAAGTGTCGTTGGCCAAATTAAAGCTAATAATCTACTTGAATGTTTTATTGCTGGAATACCATTTTTTTCACAATTTAAGAAAGTTTGATTTATTTTCCTTGCTAACACTAACTTCTCTATTTGATATTTCAGGAATCAAGTTTAAAATTGACTAAAACACGGTATGAGTAACATGGTTAAAACTCATTCATTCTAACTATTCCTTAAAACTGTAGCCTGGCAAAGGATTAAAACAAGAAAAATCCTTTTCTCAGATTCAAACGAAGAAGGTCCTTCAGCACACAATCTTGTCATTCCAAAATACCAACTTTACTATTTTCTCTAGTAGAGTGCTTTAAGATTAGTTAGTGAATATTAGATCCATAAAGTCTTACCTGAAGAATTTTATCAACTTGTTTTGAATCTAAAATTGCTCCATCACTATTGCTGAAAGAAGTTATAACTAAGATAGACACAGTTATTTTCACCACCTGTTCCATAGAGAATGATTCAGATAACAATAAACAATTTAAGTTTATGCCTTTCACTTTGGGAGGACTTCTGGCTCCACACAGCTGATCGAGAACTAGAGTGGGGAGAGGCGAGACATTAGGTGGCTGAAAGCACAGTCAAAAAGATAAGCTCTAAGGCAAATTTTGTAGTTAGGGAGGAAGGGGTCAAGGCAGAGACTCCTGGCTTGAGATCTAGCCTTTTGGGGACAGAATGCCTGAAAAACTTGTATGCAAGAGATTGCAAAATGAGTTACACTTGACCCAAATTTATGAATGCTTTTGTAAAATAATTTCACTTTAAGATTTTAAATGAAAAAGAAAACTGAGAAAAGTACTGCTATTCTGAGATTCCATAAAGTCAATAGAAATCGTTGTATTAGTAACACCTCATCGTCTTGTCATCTGCATGCTTTCACAGCTAAAGTGCTCTGTTTGCAATTAAAAGTTGAATATTACTTACAAAGAGATCTCGCTCTCAACATATCAATACACTTCACTCACATCCCATCACAAACATCAAAATGCCAGTTCATATTTGTAACAACTAAAATGGAATTTACTTCATTTGTAACATATTGGTAGAAATGTTTAACCTTCCTACCAGGCCACGTTTGCTTACTTTCGTCTTGATCTCACATTAGTTTCCTCTCGTTGAAATCTTGCTTCACTTTGCTTTGATCCCTTTCTTTACAGGATACCATTTTGGACAGGAGTGACTCGATATTTTACTTTCTCGTACACAAAAAGCTTTGAAGCTAATCCTTGAATTCTTCACAATACTTAGGAAAATCTCACCTTTTTGGCTTACCAGAGAAGTCTTTTTACAAATGACCTTTCTGGCACGATCAAAGCATCCTTATAGTCTCATAGCTGATGACTCCTTTGATCTGCCTCAGCCACAGAAATGCCAGATAATAAGCGGCAGACAAACTTGGTGCCAGTTTTAGAACAATTCTAAGATGTTTTCCAATAAGGATTTGTATTAAAATCAAGCAGTTCTTTCATTGCATTGTCTTAAGAAGGATCTACGTTATGATCAAGCAATTTTAGACGATCAAACTGAGAATTCATGAAATGTGACAATATGTTTCTGATGACTGCTATGAAACGTAACACAAGTTTATGCTAGAATGGTGAGTTAGCTTATCTGGAGTATACACACCAGGCATGGACTAGATGGGCTGAGTGGCCTGTTTCCATGCAGATTTGACCACATGATACCTTTACTAAATGGTCAGAAATACTGAACCACAAACATAGAGTGGAAGGAACCAAACAGGTTTTAGAGCACATCAGGTTTCGCAAACTGAATAAATTGCGAGTGGGAAATGGTGCCTTCGTCCAGCTAATCTGTAGTGCACTGTATTTGATTGATGGGAGAGAGGCAGTGGTGTGGACCTTGTAGAGTTTACTTGAGTTGAAGAGCAAGAACCGAAAACGTTCCGTATTGAAGCATTTGGTGTCCAGCTTATGGCAAGATATGGTAAGGGAAACTTGTCCCTTTTAAGAACACTTCCATTTTTAAACAGATCTGGATTCTTGTTACTGAGATAGCACATTAACACACATGTCAAACTATTGTATTCTTAAGTACCTACTGGACCAAATGTAGCATTGTGATTTTTAAGGCAGTCACTTGATAGTCAATGCATATACATCACCCAGCTCCTACAATGTAAATCCCGATACACAGCACCTGAAATCACTCAGTAGTACATTAAGATAATCAGTCAGATATTTATTGAAATTACAGTATTAATATTTACCTCCCCGTTTACAAATGATTCAGAAATATGCAGTTGACAATGAAAAGAAATGAGATAGCTGAGGGAAGGGATACAAAAAAGGAGACTGAAACTAAAGTGCAAATTGAATTTTACCAAAAAAATGTAAAATAGCAGAAAAGAAAAGTACCAGTTCAAGTCTAAACCATATTTCAACCATGGGGCTGATCTGACTACTGGAAGAGTGCCCAGCTGCTTCTAATGGAGTCAATAATGAAACTAAGACCGCAACTCTGGTATTTAAAGTCTTCAAAGATTCAAAGTTTATTTGTGCTCTTTCAATTCCCTACAGCATGGTTAAATAGCCTTATTTGG